TTAAATCACCAAATTCTATTAAAGTAATTGTAATCATCGAGTATATTTACAAGATTGCACATAAATGCATATAATGAATGCGTTTTGAGTCGTTTCAAAAAGTGCATTTTGTTTTATCATTTAATTTTAATTATAGATTTATTAAACTTGTATTTTTATTATTTTTTTAAAATCATAATCATAAGAAATTAATTTAAAAGACAAAATAACACCAACCCACCAATTAACTAAATTTAACCTTGAGTGTTTTTATATATATTCTACATCAACTTATTGACTCAATTGTAATTCTCGTGAATTACACGCAAATTAGTTTATTGAAATTGATTTGAGTTCATATTATGAAGTCCCTCCTATTTTGTTGTTTAACTTTAATTGTAAATTTATTATTTTTTATGAAAATAAGTTAATCATGAGAAGTTAACTAAAACGACAAAATAACACCAACTTATCACTTTCTTAATAGTATTCACGTTAACTTACAAGAGATTCTAATTGTAATCGTTGATAATGTTCAAACGAATTTGACATAAATACATCTAATGAAAATTGTTTAGGTAATTAATAAATACATAATATTTTGATATTTAATTTTAATTTCAAATTTATTAAACTTTTATTTTTATTAGTAGACTGCACGTGGTTAAATTTAAAAAAAAAAATTTCAATGTAAAGACAGTTTGAATCACTGGATTTCACTTACTTAATTGTAATCGTCGAATGTGTTCACCAGCTTCCACATAAAGCCATACAATGAACGTATTTTGAATCATTTTAGGAAGCCCATTTTATTTTGTCATTTAATTTTAATTACAAATCTATTAAACTATTATTATTATTCTTAAAAAAAATTACTAGTCATAAGATGTTAATTAAAAATGACAAAATAACACACTCAACTCACCAACTCACTAATGAGGACCTTAAGTGATTTCATGCGTACTCTTCATCAACTTATTAACTACCTTTATAACTTTTGATTCATGTGAACTACACGCGAATGTGTTTAATGAAATTGATTTGACTTGATATTAGAAAGTTCATCATATTTTGTCGTTTAACTTTAATTGTAAATTTATTAAATTTTATTATTATTTATGAAATTATGTTAGTCATGAGAAGTTAATTAAAATGACAAAAATAACACTAACTTATTTGACCGGCTAATTTTAATTAGTGAGAATCTTATCATTTAATTTTAGTTTTAAATTTTAACCCTTTATTATTAGTAGTAGATTGCATGCACATGCGATGCGCATTGTTAAATTAAAAATATAATTTTCAATATAAAATTAAACAATTTGAATAACCAAATTCTAATGACTTAATTGTAATCGTTTAGTGTATTCACCGTATTTTACATAAATGCATAAAATGAATGTGTTTTGAGTTGTTTTGAAATTTTATTTTATTTTTGTTGTTCAATATTAATTACAAATTTATTAAACTTGTATTATTATTATTTTTAAAATGTTAGTTATAAGAAATTAATTAAAAAATATAAAATAGCCATAACTCACCAACTCACTAATTATAACGTTGAGTGTTTTCATGTTTATTATACATCAACTTAAGTTGTTTTTCGAAAGTCCATCATATTTTGTAAATTTTATTTGCAAATTTATTAAATTTTATTTTTATTTATTATATATATTTTTTGAGTTGGCAATGGTTAGTGAGGCTATGGAGTTAGAGGTTAAAGGGGGAGGGGAAATGATACTGGTTGATTTCAAACATGGGCCAAATCCCCAAACAATTCACACCCTACCACTGGGTTAGCACCGCACCTTATTGTTGTTTATTAAATATGTTAATTATGAAAGGTTAATTAAAACGACAAAATAACACCAATTTAATAGACTATCTTAATTATAATCATTGAATGTTCGCATAAACTTATTAGAGCAACTTAATTGTAATCGTTGAGACATAAATACATTTAATGAAAGTGGTTTGGTCAAATTTAGAAGTCCATTCTATTATTATTATTTAATTTTAGTTACAAATTTATAAAACTTTTATTATTGCTTGTAGCAGCACATGCAACACAACTGGTTAAATTAGGAAAAAAAATTTAAACTTAAAACTGGACACTAAATCATGTATGAATAATGTTTTCACAAATCAAAATAAAAAATATATATAGTTAAAAAAAATAATTCCAAAGTCATCTAAATTCATAAAACTGAATGAACGAGAGATGATAATATCACTATTATATTTAATGGGTAAGTCAAGAGATTATCAATAATATTTCGTGGATAACTCAAGATGTTAATGACTTTTGAAATAAATAAAAAATGTACAAATAGATACACACCAAAAAGGATAAAAGATGTATATAAAAAAATAAAAAATAGAATCATATCTTATTGAATAATTTAAATCAATATAATTTTATAAAGAGTAGTGATTGGAGGATCTTATTCAACAACTACTCAATTAAATTTATACGAGAGAGGTGATGTGTTCAATCACATGAGATCATGATGACATCATACAGTGGGATCCACCACCATACTCAAAAAAATTGAATTCATTCATAAATTATTATTCCTTTATAAATATAAATATATAGATTAAGGAAAAGATAATAATGGTATGTTTAGTTTGATTGAAAATTGAAAAAATTCTACAAAAACATAGTTTGATTTAGTTTTTTTAAAATACTTTTACGAACATTTGGTTATAAAAAGGTCTGCTTTCATTATTATTATTATTATTATTATTATTATTATTATTATAGTTTATCTCAAAATAATTTCTTATTTTTTGAGTTGTTGAGAATTGTTTTCAGAATTACAAACCAACCAGGTCTTAAATTTTCAATACAGGCTCTGTTTGTTTGAGTGTAAAATATTTTCCTTATAAAATGTTTTCTATGCAACACTTTTTCATGTATAATGTTTTCTTTATTTTTTATTTTCTGATGTTTGGCAAATGTTTTGAAAGTATTTTTGGCGTCTACCTTTTAAAAGTATTTTTGAATTAAAATTAAAATTTTTATCTGAGTCATTGATTATTCAATTTTTCTCTTATTCTCAATTGGTTCAATTATTTTTATACCAGCAATAATAATAATTTGACAAGAAATATAAAAAGTTAATCAATTTATTTTTTTAAAAATGATGAGGAAACCGAAACAAGTCTCTCTAATTAAAGGGCTCCTTTATTTCTCTCTCTAGACACCCTCTCTCTCCCTTTAAACTTTATCTAGACTGGCTTTTGGCCACTATGTAACTCTTTCATGTACTTAATTGATGTTTTCGATGTCATATGCTTTTGTTGAGGAGATAGAGAGTGAAATTGATAAGCTTGAAAATTAACTTTTGGAGTATGAATTGATAAGTTTTGAAATTTTTTTTTTTTTTTATAAAAAAATTTTCTTTGAATTTGAAATTACCAAACACCACAAAATTTACAAAACAATTTTGAAAATTTGTTTTACACGGAGTATTCCGTTTTAAGAAACATATCTTAAAGGCCCGTTTACTAACGCTTTCACTTTCTTACTTTTATTTTTTTCAAAAATAAAATCATGTTTTTGATTTCTTAAACTAAAATAGAAAGTGAAATAATGTTCAATAATTTCTTTTACTTTCAATATTTTGAGAGCAATAAATTAGAAAGTTAGTTTAATAATTTTAATTTTGCTTTCCTGATCTTGTGGATAAAAGATGGAAAGTCCCATAGGCTTCTCGAGTATGATATCAATATACACACAAACACAAATGATTACAAACACACACACACAAACATATATATATATAGACACACACACACACACAATCTCCGTATATAGGTGTGATTCTGGTTGAATTCACCTCTGTATCTCCATTGGTCTGCAGAAAAAGCATAGTGAGAGATTGACGAGGTTGATATTCAGCCCTATAGACCATTTCCAAACCAAAAATCCATCCAACAACCAAATCAAAATCCATTAGTTCCTGTTAGCGAATCATCTCTCTATTCCGATGCCGGATCGTGGACCTCAGCCTCGTCAATCTCTCTCTATATACTGTGTGCCGATGTCGGAATCCATGGAAACTAGAGCCTCAAATTTGGGTCTCCCTCTTGGATGCCGGAATTCATGGACAAACTAACTGGGAATAAAACTTTGGAGCATGAATTGCTTGTGGATGCAAATTTGGGTCTCCCTCTCCGATGCCCAATTGTCGGATTCCTTACTCACATCATCATAGCCTCATCGCCGTTCGGTCCATCGATAAGTTTAGTCCGGCCTCAGCTTGGAGACACTATTCGCCGCCGCCGTTCATCTACTTTCAGCTAAGTGGGCTTAGGTTAAACCAGTAGAGAGAGAAACTAGAGAGAGAAAGTGTTTATGTCTTCTCTCTCCTCTCATCGGATGTGACTCGAACTCCATCGTTGGTGGCAGCGGCATTTGAGACCACCAGGGTCTCTGATTCGGCAGAGAATTATGTTAATTTTAACTTCTTTAAGGAGGAATTTCATATGCAACTTTCTCTTTCAAAACGATGAAGGGTTTCAGTTTTCAATGGCTGATCAATGGTGGGGAGGAGGTGGGTGGAGGAGATGGGAGATACGGTTGACGATGCCCTGTTAAGAAATTTTTTTCTTTCTTTATTTTTTAAATAATGTTACAGTACAAAAAGTAATTCATATGAATAGTATAAAAAATGGAGAAAGTGAGGATTTTTTATTTTCTCTTTTTTCACAAAATTAGAAAGTATTTTTTTAAAATAAAAAAGTGAAAGTATTTTATTAAATATGATTTTTACTTTTGTTTTTCAATTTTAAGAATTGATAATAGAAATAAGGGATAATTCTTGTTACTAAATAGAATATTAAAATCGTTTAAAGGAGCGGGTACCCAATGGATGGGTTGCCCTGGAGTGGGGTGAAAGTATACAGCACTGGGGTTACTTACACGTGGTACTCGGCCACGTGTAATACAGATTCAGATGTATTTATACGGTGCCGTATTGATAACCTGTTTTTGGGTCTGTTATTTAATAGTACTACGTACTCCCGGAACATTCGCATGTACCACATCCATTCTCCATCTCCTCTCTCTCACTGTGTGAAAAAAGCCCCTATTTTACCTTCCGAAAAAAAGAAAAGCCCCTATTTTCATTAGAACCCCCCCTTCTCTCTCTCCGTATCTATCTTCACACACCACAAGCACACACTGATACTGGGGGTTTCTACTCCCCAATTCTTGCATATTTACGAAAAATTCATCAGGTGTCTCGCGTTCGTTCTCCATCAACTCCTGCCTCTGTAAAAGGTACGTCTTTTCCATATCCGAACTATCGATCTCTTGATTTCTACTATTTTGTATTAATTTTATCTCATATCGAACAACAACGATTTCGGATTAGATCGAGTACCTGATGGAATCGAACAGGAATATCGATCGGAACCTAGGGTTTCAGTGGTCGATGATGTTGTTGATAGTAGCTCTGATGAAATCCTCAATGGAGGTATTAGTAGAAGTTGCATCTAGAATTCTTACAGGATATATATATATGTATATATGTATGTATGTATGTATATATATATATATATGTATGTATGTATGTATATATATATATGTATGTATGTATAATATATGTTATATTATTTGAAAATAAATTGATACTTCTCTTATATTATATAGCTATATATAAGGAATTCTATATTGTGGGTGATTTTTTCATCCAAAAGGATTAATCTTGATTCAAGATGGATTAGGAGTATGCATTAAGAAATGCTTTACTAAGAACAACATTACATTTTCCTTAGCACCAGATAGAAGAAGAAGCCAGAGTTGTATCTTCTTTCCGAATTTGTAGTGTAGTTTGTTGTTTTGTATTCCCTTCAGCTACCGAACAGGACCTGATATGCTCCCTTACCCCCTCCTCCTCCTCCTCCTCCTCCTCTCTCTCTGGGTCAGTTTGGTGCAATGGAAAAGGGAAGAAAGGTGATGTAGGGTGATTAAAAATTTATGTTTGGCATAAATGGTTGGAAGGGAAGGAAAGGGAAGGGAAGGTTTTGGAAGGATATCACCAGCTTTGAACAGTAATTTTCTTATCCTCCCAAAAATGGGAGGAAATGGAAGGAAAGGGAAGGCTAGGTTGATGAATTATTTCTGATGCCAAATTTACCCTTACACAAATCTTGATTTTAGGATTTAGTTTGCAAAACAAGAATTACAAACCTTGATTAGTTGATTTAGAAAAAAAATTAAAACAAAACCCATATATACAAGTTAGTAGTTGCAGAGAGAGAGAGGGGGCAAGCTTGAGAGTTGAGAGACAGCGGTTGAGGAGGACCCGAACTGGAACAGCGGTGACGGAAACTGAAAGATTTGGGTTTTGATTTTTGGAACAATCTGAAATGATATGCCAATATGGGTTTTGATATAGGTAATAGGATTTGAACTTTTGATTCTTGCAGATAGATAGATAAACTGAAATATATTGGTTTTGAACTTCTGATTCTTGTAGATTTTGTAGTTTGCAGTTGCAGAGGGAGAGAGAGAGAGGGGGGGGAGGTCAGAGTTGAGAACGAGAATAGAGATGGAGGCGATTGGGGGGGCTGAAATTATTTGCCCTAAAAGGTGGCCCATCATACATGGACCTATAATTTTTGAGGCCCATAAATTTATCTTTTAAAATATAAAAGGGTATAATAGTAAACTTACTAAAATACTTTCTTTTCCCAAATATGATCATTATCATTTCCTTTCTTTTCCTTCATTAATCAACTAAACACGATAGGGGGTTAGTATTATCCTTCCCTTCCCTTTCCCTTTCCCTCATAACTAATGTTATCCTTTCTTTTCGTTCCCACCGTACCAAACATAGCCTTAATGTGTCTGCGTGCCCACGTGTCTGTGTGTTACCCCGGAAAACTAGATACCGTTTTATGGGTTTTTACTATCTGATTTATTACTCATGTGTTTAGTTGAGTTATATTGATTGTTATGGCTTATAATATATTTGGATTTCTGTATTTGCAGGTTGATCTTGGCATATTTTTGTTCTTACTGTTAATTTTCATTTGTACATAATTATGATGGATAATCCACGGTCGACCTCTGGGACTGGTGAGGATAATGTTGGGATTCCTGATGATTTGCGATGTAAAAGGTCTGATGGGAAACAGTGGAGATGCACTGCAATGTCTATGCCAGATAAAACAGTATGTGAAAAGCACTACATCCAGGCGAAGAAGAGGGCTGCAAATTCTGCAATGAGAGCTAGTTTAAAGAAAGCCAAGAGAAAATCTCTAGGTGAAAGTGACATCTACTTGGAGAGTAAGAGTGATGACATGGATTCACCACTTCTTACTAGTAAAGTCGGGGATTACCCTGTTTCAGTCTCGGGGAAGAAGTACAAGGCTAAGGTACCAAAAAACCAGGTTCGTTATTCACCTGAAACACCTTCAATGAGGAATATGTCTACGCGCAATCATCTGAAGGCAAATGATGATCTACAAAGAGATGTTGCACAATATGAAGATAATCGGAGGTCTTACAAGACACCTCCCCCTTCCACTGTGGAGTCATCCAAGAGCAGATCACAGAAGGTCTTCAATTCTGGTCCTATGTCAGTAAGTGGAAATTTAACATCTCTGGCATACACTTCTACTAATATAGATATTTTTGTCATTTTCACCATCACCGCCATAACAAATGAGATTTTTCACAAGTGGAGAAGTTCTGAACTAATCACAAAGCAAGTGTGCACTTCACGAAAATTGTACCTTGCTTCTGGATTTTTTAGCAAAAGAGGATCTGTCCCTTAACCCCTTTTAGGAAGTTCTACTATTTCCTTTTATTCTTGGATTATTTTTGTTGCTACTAGCTATCCCTGTAATCAATTAGAGATAATACATATCCCCTTCGATGGCTCAGGTGATCCTCCAAGGATCCCTTGTCATCTGCCATTGGCATGTAATTATAACAGGCCTCCAATTGTAATCCATTAATTTGTTAAACTTATTTATGTCAAGATAACAAAAAGAAACTCTGGATTCATCGCTCTTACAGTTTTGCTAAATCAATAGGCCCTAGGAATTGGATGTGCGTTAGAAATAGTGGTAATTTCCCTACCTTGGTCTCTGATTAGAAATACAGGTAGTCAAGTCTAAAGCTTTCTATGTTGTAATTCTATGCGAGCTATGATCAAAAGATCATGAAACTTGTATTTTTTTTTTTTCCTTTTTTTTTTTGAAACTTGCAGATCCCCTCCCCCACCCCTCGAATAATGAAGTTTTGGAGATTTGATGATTATGGTTATCATATTGTGTTTCATGTAGCTTTGTCAGACTCTGATAGGGTATTATTCTTCCCCATTTGTTTTTCTGCCTTTCTGAAGCACTTTTTTAACAGGAATCCTCTGATGGAAGCTCAGATTCTTCTGATAATACTGGTGGGCAGACCTGCCATCAGTGCTTGCGGGATGATAGAGACAAAGTTATTTGGTGCCTCAAATGTGACAGGAGAGGATATTGTGATAGCTGCATCTCAGCTTGGTGAGATTTCTTATTCAGTCGAAAAGGCTTATTTCACTCTACTTAGCAGGTTATTGATTACAACTGGGTTGTTTAGGTATTCTGACATCCCATTGGAAGAGATCGAGAGGCTTTGTCCTGCATGTCGTGGTACTTGTAATTGCAAGGCATGCTTAAAGGGAGATAATCTAATAAAGGTATTAGTATATTCACCAAAGAGGCTTGTATCAAATGCATTATTAACTCTCTTGAATATGCGAAAGATATATTTCTAATTTTGTTTTATAGGTTATCTGAATTGTTTGAAGAATCATTGTGCTTGTTCTGAATTACAGGTAAGGATACGAAAAATACCTGTCCAAGACAAGTTGCAATATCTTCATTGCCTTTTATCTTCGGTGCTACCCGTAGTTAAACAGATACACCGTGAACAGTGCTCTGAAGTGGAACTGGAAAAAAGGCTTCGAGGTTGGATGGTTTTGATGTTCTAATTACAAGTTGGGAGTTTCAAAATGACATTTACCATAGTTTGACCATCTTGTATGTTTTCTCCAGGAAATGAAATAGATCTTGCCAGAATAAAACTGAATGCAGATGAGCAGATGTGCTGGTACAACTCCTAATATTTATGCGCTATTTGCATTTACTTAAGTGGGTTCGTACATGATCTGAAACAAAGATCAATATTTTAGAATTTCCTATCCTTCAAAAACAACCCGCGTGTCGGTCTTACACTCTTACCAGTGAAATCTTGTTTGTCATTATATCAATTTGAGCTTATAATTTGGAACTTTACTCTTCTTAGTGATGGGAAAATCTGAAATGAAACATATAATTATATACACACATTCCCTTATCAGGTTGATCTCTGATATCTATTTCCTTGGCAGGGCTATTTGATTAAAGATATAGAAGTGTCATTTGTGCTTACAAAATATTTATTTTAATGTGTTTTCTTGCAGCAATTTTTGTAGGATACCTATTATTGATTATCATCGGCACTGTGCAAATTGCTCGTATGATCTGTGTCTTAGCTGCTGCCAAGATCTTAGAGAGGCATCCACGTTTGGTGTAAAAGGAGAGGTGGAAAATCTGGTTGTTAGAAGAAGTGACGACAAAGAAACTGTGTCAAAGCAAGCAAAACCATCCAATCTCAGACTAAGTTTTGCAGAGAAGTTCTCTGATTGGAAAGCCAACAGTGATGGCAGTATTCTATGCCCGCCAAAGGAGTATGACGGCTGTGGTTGCTCATCATTAATACTAAAACGCATATTCAAGATGAATTGGGTTGCAAAACTGGTTAAAAACGTTGAAGAAATGGTTAGTGGCTGTAAGGTATATGATGTTGATGGTCCACAGAATTCTGGGTTTAACTCCAGGCTTTGCCAAGCTGCACATAGAGAGAATGGCAATGATAATTTCTTGTTCTTTCCATCTTCCGAAGATATTAAAATTGAAGGGATTGGAGATTTTAGAAAACACTGGATCAGGGGTGAACCTGTTATTGTTAAGGATGTTTGTGATATATCATCAATATCAAGCTGGGATCCCATGGTCATATGGAGAGGAATTCGGGAGACGACAGAAGAGAAAATGAAAGATGATAACAGAACCGTGAAGGCAGTGGATTGCTTAGACTGGACCGAGGTAGGTTTCAACAAACACAAAGTTCAATTATAGAATAGATAACACTGACCTGATATTGTTTATATTCTTGTATTATTTTATCTATTTTCTCTCATGGCCCATGAAATGTGTGCATTTCTTATGTTATTGCGTTGAAAATCCATTTTATCCTGTGTTAAATGTCCTGATATTTTGACACTCGTGGTTTGATGTGATGACAGGTTGACATTGAACTTGGCCAGTTCATTAAAGGATACTCAGAAGGTCGAATCCATGAAAATGGTTGGCCAGAAATGTTAAAGTTGAAGGATTGGCCTTCTCCTAGTGCTTCCGAAGAGTTTTTATTGTACCAGAGACCTGAATTTATCCGTAAACTGCCTTTACTTGAATACATTCATTCCAAGTGGGGTCTTCTAAATGTTGCCGCAAAACTTCCTCATTACTCCTTGCAGAATGATGCGGGTCCGAAGATATTTATATCTTATGGGTCATATGAGGAACTTGGTAGAGGTGATTCGGTGAACAATCTCCATTTCAATATGCGTGACATGGTGAGTCCTTGTTTTCCTTTCTCTGTGAATCATCTCATAAGAACTGTCTTCTCTTGATCCCACGTCTGATATAATGTAATGAGAAGCTTTATGAAATTCTCCATAATTTATGCTTCACTCCATTATGTTTATCTATTTTCCTTGAAAATTTGAAAGTGAATTGAAGGATAGTTATCTTCTTTTCTAAGCAATTGGAATTTTATTTTTTCTTAACAACAACAAGCTTTTTCCCAACAAGTATTTTTCCAAATACTTAGGGTTAGCTACATGAATCCTATGTTTCCGTTCTGCTCTATCTAAGGCCATAGCTTCAGTCAAACCACAAGCTATTTTATTTTTACTTACCAGTTACCAAAAAATAAGATTTCTCCATTGTGACCTGGAGGTCACATGTTTGAAACAAGGAAATAGTCTCTTTGCATGCAGAAGTAAGGCTGGGTACACCTGACCCTCCCCAGACCCTATAATGGCGGGAGCCTCGTGCAATGGTTTTGCCCTTTTTACGAGTTACCTAAAAAAAATAAAAAATTTAGATACATGTTTGAGCTGTAAGTTAAGAGTGTTATTTCTAATTTAATTTGCAAAATAGTTGGAATAGAACCACTTGACAATGTATGTACCCCAGTGCTCATGAAGGATATGTTTGTTTGCTTTTTTCTCTGTGGATTCCGCTTTAAGTGATGGTGTTATTTGTATTACCATTTGCTGCAATATTAGGTTTACCTATTGGTGCATACATGTGAAGTGAAGCTGAAAGGATGGCAGAGAACAAAGATTGAGAAGATACAAAAAGCTTTTGAGGAATCTGAGGCAAAAGAATTGCCAGGAGATCTGCAACCTAAACTATCAATTGGTGAACAGGATAGACATAATGAATATGAAGCTAAGTTAGACACGAATGATGAGATAATGGAGGACCAAGTGACTGAAACTGCTGATACTGTAGAAGAGAAAACCATTAATTGTGAGGACTTGAATAGCACTAGTGGAGACGCTTTTGAAAAGACCAGTCCAGGAGTCCTTTGGGATGTTTTCCGCCGACAGGATGTTCCAAAGCTTATTGATTATCTGAGAGTCAATTGGAAGGAATTTGGGAAGCTTAACAGTGTTATGAATGATTCTGTAAGTTTGTTTGCTCGTTTTGATAATTCCGGAATTCTTCTGAACTAACATTATTGATTTGTATTTGACACACATTGCTGATTAATTCTTTGGATCTCAGGTGACACATCCTCTTTATGATGCATTGATGTACCTGAACAAGCATCACAAAAGAAAATTGAAGGATGAATTTGGTAAGGCCAACTATCAATTATTATTATTTCTAATTTAGTTTTGAGGAAACCTTAGACCCGAACCTCATATAATGCTTCCGCTTGAAGGGACTGACACCATAAGTACTAGATTTTGATAAAGGAATGGGGTGTGGTTTACGCTCACAGTTAACTCATGCTGCGGATTCAGAAAGCAGAGCTTCTTTTTGACTTTCCTTTCTCACGATATTAATGTTTATGTGTAGTGAGCTTGGTGTTGTATCCTTAATATACTTGAAATTCACTAAATGCTTGTTAACAATCAAAGTTTTGTTCTTCCCCAGGAGTGGTGCCATGGTCATTTGAACAGCATCTAGGGCAAGCTGTATTCATCCCAGCTGGATGTCCTTTTCAAGTGAGGAATCTTCAGGTGAGCTCAGTGTAATAAATAACTATTGTGATCGGAAAACTTAATCTTGTCAAAAGGAATCTTTAGCTGTTTTTGGGGTTGCTTTCTCGACTCTAGCTGGTAGGATATCGAATAATTTTCTTGGATGGATATTCTCTAATGTTATCATGTTAAGACTTAGAAGCACATTTGCCAAGTACCATTGATTATGTGCCTCAAAAGAGTCAAGAGTGTCACTCTTTCCTTAGAAATTTCTTCTTCTTAGTTTTAATGGTATTAGTTGGAAGTATGCTACTTGAATTGCTTGAATGCTAGCAATGCTGGTTGTGTTGCCAAATTGCCACAGATGTTAGGTGCTTTGCATTTTCACCTCACTTCATGTAAAAGATATGTATTATTTCACCGAGCGTTTTTCTATGTAGAGCTTCAAGTATATTTTATTTTATGTTATTTTATTTTTATGTTTCAAAGCATCTTTTTAAGGAATTCGTTTGGTATTTGGCTTTGCCAAAGTTAGTGTGTGGTTGATACAACCTGAACCTGTAACCACCAGTGAAACTGATGTTCTGAGAAGCATATTGAAATAAAAACTCTTTAGTGATTGCCAACATTTTTTATATTCAAGCTATTACCCTTTCAACTTCTCGTAGGTGTTATCCATACATACATATATATATTATAAGTCGGTGGTGTTATCCATATTAAGCATTCCTTCTGGAAATGTCACCAGCTACTTATTTACTTTCAGGCATCTTTCTGTACCACTAGGACTTTTGGTGCTCCAAAACTCTTTGTAACAAAATAGGAAATCTTATGTTAGGAGTCTAAGAAGATACTGAAGCAGCCTCTTTGTCTCATAGCCTATTTTATGGTAAAGAATGGGAGGGTGCCTTCCTAAGTCGCACAGCGTGGGAACGAGAATTGAAGCCAGAGGCTATAGCGAGAGCGCAAGAGTGTCAAATATTTAATTTTTTTGAGAGCTGGAGCGTAGTTAGAGCATTTATATGTTGCACATATACATTTTTATCCAACGTTACAAATTATCATATTAATTCATTACATTGTTTTTGTCTACTTTTTTTTTTTTTTTCCTAGTTGGGAACTCACACACACTGCCTCCACTGAGGTTCGAACTCCTGACCTTCCTTTGGGAAGTAGGAACCTTGTACCACTAAGCCACAGGCGTGTTGGTAGTTTTTGTCTACTTTTCCTTAATTAATCTGCTGTGTTCTTATAAATATATATGCAAATTTATTTTGTTTTATCGTTGGGACAATATAATTGAATATTGTTATAAATAGATAATTGGGAACACTTGAACCAAAAAAAAAAAAGGAAAAATAAATAAAAGAAGCGGTTGAACAGCAGATGGACAGTGTTCCATCCATTAAGTCGTGGGTGGTTCGAGTATTTGCATGTCAATATGTTATATTACAGAAATAGCTGAACACAGATGGTCCGCACTCGTGCACAAAACTCCAAGGGTCCCAGGCAACAAATACACGCATGAAAGTCAAAACAATCAGACATGTATCACGAAACATGTGGAATCTGCAAACTGAGCTAAAATATACGTAACTGAAAAAAATGGATCCGTGAATTTGAGGCGTATCCACGCTAAAATCGTGGATTTGCTTGTGGTCTGCTAGAGCTGACCTCCTGTTAGGCAAATCACATGATTAAATAATCAAATCACCACATACAAAAATACACATTTGGTCCATATAGATTTCTTTTAATATGCAATGATTGGAATCCCATTTGAAGTGTCATATGAGAAGTCATTTGATATGCATTCCCATTTGAAGTTATTGCATGAAAGATGTTTCTTTAAGAATAGCTCTTTCGTGGTATGGAAACTGTGCTAGACTTCCGTAAGGTGTGGCTTTTATGGAGATTTTTAACTAAAAAACTATAAAAAGGAACAAAAATCATAATCCAATCTTCTTCTTTTGCTAAGAAAATCAACTTCTAATCTGGTGATATGTATCTGTCCTAAAATGGTTATTATTGTGATTTTGTTTTTTCAATCCACACACCCATTTACCCCTATGGGGACTTGAACCCTTACCTCACTTTGAGAGATTGAGGAGATACCACCAGGCTACGGCCCTTGGTGGTTTCTTGTGAAATTCAGTTTATTGCATTTGTGTTAACAATTTTTCCTTCATAATTTACAGTCCACGGTTCAATTGGGCCTTGATTTTTTATCTCCTGAAAGCCTGGGGTCAGCTGTGAAATTGGCTGAAGAAATCCGTGGTCTTCCAAATGACCATGACGCGAAGCTTCAAATGTTGGAGGTCAGGCGTGGGAAATTTTGCTTAGAAGTATTATGTCCCTTCTTGTCCTCTTTGTCCTTGATATTAGAGAATGCTCTCTTTCCCCACCTTGTTCCCCTATTCCCACTCAGGTTGTTCTGTGCTCTGTTTATGTCAATAAGTTTCTCAGTTTATACTCGGTTTTGTTGCAGGTAGGAAAAATCTCACTTTATGCAGCAAGTTCAGCCATTAAAGAAGTTCAGAAGTTGGTGCTGGATCCAAAGTAAGCTATTTGATCTTTTCTGAGTTAGTGTTTTATGCTTGCGTTTTAAGCTTTGAGGCTTCCAAACTTGGTCTTTTTAGCTGGAAAAGGAATCATGTGAAATTATCATTTGATTAGTGGTCCTGTGGCCTACTAGTATCAGCTGCCTCCTTTGTATGCATTGAGGATGGTTTGAAGTCTTCATAAAACCGGGCCGGGGGGGGGGGGGGCGGGGGTTGGGGGGGGTAGCTTGCGGCAAGGGTTTGGGGTTAATTGAAAAATTTAAACTCGATAATGTTTTTACCCCTTTGCTTTTATGTGCTTACATAAATAATAGTTGCTTGATTGTGCTCATCTATCTTCCCTTTCTGTTTTTGCGGCCTCTAAGTATTCGTTTTTTACATTTGTGTTGCAGACTTGGTGTAGAGCTTGGATTTGAGGATCCCAATTTAACTGCAATGGTTTCTGAGAACATGGAGAAGATGATTAAGCAAAGACAGATTACTTGTGTTTGAACTAGTGTACATCGCTTAAAATATGAATATAGAAAATGAAATCTAGAATCGTGGAGGCGATGCCTGATAAAATTTATTATGTAAATATATTTAGGTAATTTTTGTGCTTATATTCAAGCTGTGTCAAGGCTACGGCTCCTTAGGGAAAAAAAAAATTGTAGGCTTACTACACATTGTATCATTGTGCTGGTATGTTACAATTTTTTTAAAGCTTTTAATCTGTGTCTATTGCAAGATCACAGTGCTTGTCAGAGAACAATAGGAACCAGTGAGGTGAAAAAAATTACAATTACAACAGATCAAATGCTCTCTTAAATTCTGCCTTTTTGGCTGGCTCATAAAACTCAACTTGCTGGCTATATAAAATTCTGTTGGTTATGAGGAGAAAAGAAATTTTAAAAGGATTAAATTTGCCCCAGTAGCAGATGTGGTGCTGTAGTGCGCTCGACATAATTAAATTGTGATTTAATAAATTGCTTCAAGTTCGAAGTAGTAGTGTTGAGACTAGAACTAATAGCGTTGAGCATGAAGTAAAGGGTTAATAAAATTACAAATAGTGCGGTGCTGTGCATTGCAGAGGATCTCTGTTGGTCCAACTCATATTTCATTCGCTTCTCTCAATTATGAGTTTAGATACTGAAGCTACATTGGTGGTAGCTGCAATTGTCTTGCTTTAGCCGTTGAATCTCGTGAGTTCTATCGTGAGAATCTCGTGAGTCCTATCATGAATCTCGTAAGCTGTACTTTAGCCGTTGAATCTCTTGAGTCCTATCATGAGATTCACGTGAGTCCTATCATGAGATTTATGCACTGTATTTTAGCCGTTGAATCCTGTGAGTCGTTGAATCTCGTGAGTCGTTGAATCTCGTGAGTCCTATCATGAGATTCACGCGCTGTACTTCAGCCGTTGAATCTAGTGAGTCCTATCATGAGAATTTCGTGAGACTTATCATGAGATTCATGCAATTCAAATACTGTAATGAAACAATTTTAGTATTTCTCATTTTTGTAATTACAAAATGTCAAAAGTCAATTATATAAATATTAGTATTAATATGTGTTTATGTTACATGAAGCTCCTCACAATGTGATGAATCGAGTGCTTCGGCTCTTGAGGACTACTTGCTTCACAACACTTCCTTACAAGGGTCATATTGCAAGATTTCAATGTCCCTATGATATTATCAAAATCCAGATATCGCCCGTATTACAGTAATAACAATAGTTAAACTGCACTATAGTTGTCTTGGTCCGCTGGCAAGTTTTAGTAGCCACAAAAGGAATAATGTTATGTTTTGGAGTACCGAATTGTTGTTTGGATTTAGAATTGTTTTTTATTCAAAATGATTGTTATCAAGATTGATATTAATTCTAAGAGCATCTCCAATAGTTGTCTATATATATATTTTTTTTGTTTAAATCTGATGTGTTATAGTAGATTTACACAAAATTTAGCTCCGGCCATTATTTTATACCTTTTGTGTAAAAATATATCTGTCAATAACAACCAAACACGTGTCATGCTAAGATCCCACGTAACTTTTATAAACCTACTTAACATACATTCGTTAATGAAATGAGAAAAAGAGAAGAGAGAGAAAATATGCTCACGTGGCTGTATAAAAGGGTTGTGCAAAATACACAACAATTTTATATATTGATGGGGTGATAGAGGGAAGAGAGAGAAAATATACTAATGTGGCTGTGTGAAAGGGTTGTGCAAAATACACAACAATTTTATATATTGATGAGGTGACAAAGTATTTTAACACGCTGTTGACGCTAAAATCGGCCGACTAGAGCCGATCTTAAATTGATGGAAAACGGGCGTGCCAGAATCAATTGTATGCTTCGATTGTATTTGGTCAACTGTAGTCTCTTTCGAGGGTTGACTTTCAGACGATGCGAGGATAAAGAGAACAGTGATACTCCTCTTAGAGTTCAAGAATTGCCTTAGTTAAATGGACTTTTAATTGAATAAATTATAGTAACGATTAGAGAATAGAAAAAGGGAGAAACAGATATAGAAAAAAAGAAAGATTGAGAGAGAGAGAAATAGATAGAGCGAGAGATTGAGAAATATAGATAGACAGAAAGAAGAAATAGCAAGGATGCTATTCTTGGAAAAGCTTGAGAAAGTAAACAAATAATAATAATGATTCTGAGGGTGCTGGACCATTTCTCAGCATGCCTTTTTGTTTATTTATAGAAAATATTAGAAACAAATTCCTACCAATAAATACTCTAATTACAATAAAACTCTACCTCATTACTGAATTTAAATTTAAATTAAGGTTCCTAGATAAATATTAATTTATAACTAAAATCTGATAAACATATAAATCTTATCTAACATAAAGATCAAAAATATTTCAAAAATACTCCTATCTGATCAATGACGCCCTTGTGTGTAGTTTTGCCATGTCACTGTTTATCACCTGTAGCCTACTTCCATATCACTGTATCAATGCTATCATAATTGCGACCCAAATCTACTGCTTTAAATCCATGTTTTCAAGCACGAACTTATCACTGCATCCTTCAGCCCAATGTTTGTGCAGCCCGAACGTCTAAAGCATCATCATTCATCAGGCCTATATACTCTTGGCCCATGACACCATGCCACTGTTTATTAAGCCCAATTGGAGCCCATACCCTATTACCAAAATGGGTGCCAACAATGCCCCCCAAGTTTTGGTAGCCGTTTGGAACTCAGGCTTCTAAAATTTTGAACTACGCACCCATTGTAGCTTATCCCCATATACACCATATAGATTCCAAACCCCATAATGTTATTAGTTCCCAAAACTGCCGATTGACATTACCTAACTAATCCATAATTACTACTACCGTAAACTCTTCTTCTTCTAACCACCCACGATTCATATACATAAAAAATATCTTTTATCCTCTGTATCAACTAAACTCCTCTTCCAAAATCTCTCATCTCCATCAAAATCAAACCCTTTTTTCTTTGCAATATGTCTTTGAAAAAACAAAACCCTGGTCTTAATTTGGAATCTCCAACATTAGAATCGACATCTCATCCCCAAATGACCAAGAGTACACTCAAAACCTTACCATCCTCCGAACTAAACAATACCACACTCATCGATTTAGCAAATAATGCTAAGGGCCTTGGTTTAGCATTTATCAATTGATTTCCTCCATCCCTGTCTCCTTTTTACCCTCAAAGGGAAAACCAACTTCCTTTTCTCAAACTTGTGTATCAGACTGTTGAAGGTGAAAGGCCGTCTCTGTCAATCAGAAATTGGCATCCTCCCATGCTCCAATGGGATGAGTGGGTGGATCGCGTGTCTGTGGCTAAAGGTGATCTATGGAAGCGAATGGGCATCTTTGACATCATCCAACTCAGTAAACTTTCTTTTACTCTAGACAAGCCATTGTTTTTTGCATCTTTACACTTTTGGTCACCCACCACCAATTCGTTACATTTACGCTGTGGGATGATGGCCCCAACCCTTAGGGATGTTTGTTTTCTAACTGGACTAAAACCTGGAGGGGAAGATATCAACTACCTTCTTCAAGACTCAGAAACCAACTTTTACTTTCCTGAACAAGACGACCCTAAACATCACGTCCAATCTCACGGGCCATTTCTCAAAGAAATGATTGGAGAACATGAAACTGAAGTAACTGAACAAGAACACATAGACTTTTTGTTGTTGTGGTGTTGTAGACATTTCTTGTGTGCCCCTACAATTCAAATCACTAAAGATCTCACCCAGTTAGCTATAGCGCTGTCTAAAGGCAAATCCATGGTATTAGCTTCTTTTCTGTTAGCATCTTTATACAGAGGTTTATCGGACCTCACTGTCTCAAGTTTTTCTCGATCTAGAGGACCTTTCTGGCTTTATTAATTCTGGTTGCATGCTTATTTCTTGTGTCCCCCAAAATTCATCTTTCAATAAATGACTCCTTAATTTCTTTTGGATATGCCCAAGTAAAACCTAAGGAACAATCATTCCTTGATTGTTTTCAATTCTTTTATCATCAATGTACCTTTTGAACCCGCTCTCAATTCCTTCCCTTTTCAGACTGTCGTTTGGCCCCTTCTTGGTTGCTTCTTCCCACCACCGATTCCGCAGCAGAACAAATTGAACTACACAAGACTGCTTGGGGCCATTTCTTGACTGCAAGAGATATTTCTTACAATACCATTGCTCCCCACCATGCAAAGAGCCAGACTGGGGTAGAGTTCTATAACTCTGCAGAACTAGCCAGGCAATTTGGATTGACTCAGTTAATTCCAGTACCTCCTCATTCTTCTTATAACAAGAATTTTTATAAAAGAGTGAAGTTGACTGATAGCGACCAAGTCCGTGATGTTACAAATAAATTTCAGACACTCTTAAATAATTTCAATACAAAGAATTTGTAGAAGAACCAGCCATCGACCCAAACTTTGAAGAATGATAGTCTTCCTACATCTGCTTTACCAGGTCAAAAGAAGTTGTGCAGCTTGTCTATACTCTCCTTGGATCATACAAGTTCATCTCTCTTTCTTTTCAAGGAGGAGAAAACATCACACCTGTTGTTCTTACCACAACTCCTACACAAGAGAATAAGCCCATTAAATCCAGCAGTCATGCTCCACCTACAACTCCAGCAGGTAGAACAAGATCACGCTCTTGGCAGAGTAAGTTGTGGTCCTTATTTTGATCTAATAAATAACTATATCTACACTGCAATATAGATTTGTTATTTTTTAAAACTGCAGGTGCTCCACCTTTGCACCAAAAGGAACAAACCCAACTTTGTCATCATCAACTCCACCTGATCTCTACACTCCTCTTCAAAGCATACCTCCCATAACTGTTACTCAGGTAACACTTATGATTAAATCGTAACCATTTTTTTAATACATACCATTTTTCCTTTGCTAACTCTTTTGGTTCAGAGAAAAACAAGAAAGAAAACTGTGGGAAAGAAACTTGCTAGAAAGTCAAGAGCCAAAAGACATTTCATCTCGCTTGATGATGATGATGAAGTTATGTCCAAGAAAAGGAAGACTGCCACTGAAACTCTCATGGTAAATCCCTAGATGCCTGATTACATTTCTGTTCAAACAATATAACTAAATCGGCATTTCTTTCAGGAAACTCCACCTTCTTCGGAGCAAAAATCAAGTCGAGACTTTATTGTGGACAACATTGAAAATGAAAAAATTGAAGTTGCAATGGACCAAGAACAAAGATCCCCTGAAAAGGTCTCCCCAGCTTCTTCCCAACATCTAGCTTCAGCTCCCATGAATGAACAAATTGGAGACTCTAAGGAGGTAAGTATCTAATAATGAACATATTACTTGTTTGTTTATGATAATTAAAACTGATTCGAAACCTCTCAAGTGCAGAAAAAACCCACTCCTCCTATTGTGCTTGCAAGATCCAACCCAAGTTCACTATTCACTGCATTGGATTCTTTATTTGATTTTGTGTTTGACTCCCCAAATCCTGAACCTACTATAATCCCAACCGAGAACACCACTGAAACTCTACTCTACTGGAAATAGTTAAGGCTGTACAAATATTACTCCAAATACTTCAACAAGATCTGTCCTCTGTCCCCTCTTTCAAAGAAGAACTTATCGAGACCCTTTCCTTTCTGAGTAGCTACCCAAGTTTCTCCCTGAAGGACCAAACCTTTTTCAAGAACTTTCAACTTTAAGTCCCCTCCATGATCACTGCTTATGCCTAGTCCACTCAAGCTCTCAACCTTTGTGCTGCTCAAACCCAAGAGAAAGAACTGCTTGCTCAATTTTTAAAATGTGGAAGAGAACTTCACCTGTCCTTGAAGAAAGAAGCTGCCAATTTGGATGCCAGGGAGAAAAAAATTCAACCAGAACTAGCTCAGCTTCAACAGGATAAATCTCAACTCGGCAACAAGGTAGCAGATTTGAAAAAACAAACCGAAGTTGCTGTACCCAAGTTCAAAGCACTGCAGGCACAGGTGCCAAAGCTAGAGCAGTTCAAGAAACATGCAGAAACCAAGCTCCAGCAAACTACAACCTCTTAAGCCAATTTTAAGGCCAAATTTGAAGACTTTCACAAGAACTTTCCCCAACTTTGAACAATTATCTTTTTTTTTTAATAATGGTATGTAATATGGTTTTAAACAATTTACTTTTTATGGAGCGTGATGTGATGTTTTAAACAGTATTGCTATAATAGTGTTTTAACTTATTCATTGCATAAACAAACCACTCCTACCTTTACATAACTTGCATAAAACCAAAGGCAATATAATCCAAACTATTCTGACTTATCGGAAATTTTCTTTTCTTCCATAAGTTCAAAAATAGTTGGTTTATATTTTTTAAGGTACCTCCTGTTTATTGGCCTTTTATGTGCACTGCCATCCAAATCCTTTAAATTATATGCACCTCCGTGCAACACTTGGTGAACTACATATGGTCCCTTCCATGTGGGCGACCATTTTCCATAAGTTCTATCCACCTTTGTAGGTGGAAGAATTGTTTGCCAAACCATATCACCTTCTGCAAATGACTTAAATTTCACCCTTTTATTGTAAGCCCTCATTACCTTTGCTTTATGGACCATAAGGTGGTCTGAAGTAAGTTTTTGGACTTCATCTAAATCTTCCAACTCGGCAAGCATAGCTTCGTTGTAATCGGCAGGTACGAGATTGTGTTGTAAAGTTACTTTTATCGATTTCACATTTAACTCCATTGGTAGCATAACATCTTGGCCAAATGTTAGCCTATAAGGAGTTGTTCTTATACTTGTTCACTTCGAATTTTTATAAGCCTACAAAGCTTCTGAAAGGGTTTCAAGCCAACGCATTGGCTTATCTTTTATCATCTTCTCAATAATTTCAATAACAACTTTTTTTGAAGCCTCTGCTTGGCCATTCCCTTGAGCATAATAGGGTGTTGAAGTTACCATTTTCACTTGTATATCAATGCCGATTTGTAATACTTCATTTGCTCGAAACACGGATCCATTATCGGCAACAATTGTTTCAAGTAAGCCAAATCGGTGAAAGATATGTCGCTCCAAAAACTGTATGACGATATTATGAGTTACCGATACGTATTCTTCGGCTTCTACCCATTTGGTAAAGTAATCAGTAGCTAAAATAATCCAATGATGACCCTTTGATGAAGGAAGATTAATCTTGCCAATTAGATCCATGGCCCAACCTCTGAAAGGCCATGGTTTAACTAATAATTGCATCTCCATTGCTGGAACCCACTGCATTGGACCATGCTTTTGATAGTCTATACAACCTTTTGCATATGTCATACAATCTTTTCTCATTCCAGGCCAATAATATCCACATCGGCGTATCAACCACCTCATTTTTATGCCGGCTTGGTGAACTCCACATATCCCTTCATGTACCTCAGCCATAATCTTCAAACCCTCAAACTTACTAATGCACTGAAATAACAAACCATCATTAGCCGATCTTCTATAAAGATCTCTATCCATAAGTACATAATCGAACTTTCTTTTTATTCTTCGATCGGCTTCTGGAGTTGGATGTTGCAAGAACAAGATGTAAGGGATTCGCCAATCATTATCATCCAACTCGACAGCATCAGTGGCAAACACTTCTTGCATAACTTGATTTCTTGTTTCAACCGATGGAAGAGATCGGAGTGTAATTTTCATTATCCTTTCTTTCATACCGCTTGGCACTCTGATTCCTGAAGCAGTATGTGCTAAATCATTAGTTATTTTATTCATGACCTTTGGTCTGTATTCCAAAGTTACATTGTGAAATTGGTTAACCAATTGGGTTGCTAACGAGTGAAATGGTCTCAATTGCCAATTCAAACATCTAAAGTCTTTCGAGATTTGATTAATCACCAAACTTGAATCTCCCACTATGTGGACATCTTTGACTGCCATTTCTAGCAGAATTTCCAAGTCAATAATTAATGCTTCATACTCGGCTTGATTATTTGAGTACCTGAAATCCAAAAAGAAGGAAAACGAAATTTGGTTCCCTGTTGGGGATATTATGACTATACCAGCTCCCGAGCCTTCACTGGTACTCGACCCATCGAACATTAAAGTCCATGGAGTCATGAATATGGATGCCGAGTCAAGCTCATCAAATACTTGTGATTCAATTTCAGGCGATGGATGATCGGCAAGAAAATCTACCAATGCTCTTCCCTTAATTGCCTTTTGTAGAACATATGCAAAGTTGAACTCTATTAGTGCCAACATTGTTGCAAAATATAAAGCCAAACATAATTTTTCTATCGGCGTATATCTACACTCGACTGGAGTTAAAACTCGGCTGAGATAATATATTGCTTGTTCACTTCCTGCTTCATTCTCTTGTGCTAGCATAGCTCCAATGGATTCTTCAGTAGTCGATAAATATAACTTCATTGGCCATTTCTTCCTCGGTGGCATTATGACAGGAGGACTCGACAGGTATTTTTTAATCTGGTTAAATGCCCTTTGATGTGTATCATCCCATTTGAATTCTTCCATCGGATTCAGCTTGAGTAGCCGGGGAAAACACATATAACTTCCCAGCTGTATTGGCAATAAATTGCCTACGATAGTTCACTTGCCTAAGTAACCTTTGCAACTGTTTCTTGCTTCTCGGCGCACTAGCGTCAATAATTGCCTTGGCTTTATTCTTATCGATCTCTATACCCCTTTGATGAACCAAAAAACCCAAAAAGTTTCCTATCGATACTCCAAAGGCACATTTTTAGCTTATGAGCCCTCATCCTCTCAAAGGATGCTTTGAGATGAACTAAGTGCTCCTTTTTTGTTACTGATTTTACTACTACATCATCAATATAAACCTCCATAAACTTGCTGAGTATATCATAAAAAATAGAATTCATAACTCGCTGATATGTAGCACCAGCATTCTTCAAACCAAAAGGCATTACCACCCATTCAAAAGTTCCAATCGATCTGGGACACCTAAAAGCTGTCTTTGGAATATCCTCCTCGGCTATATAAATTTGATTATAGCCTGAGTGTCCATCCATAAAAGACATAATTTCGTGTTTTGTAGCCGCATCAATCAGTTGATCGGCTATCGGCATTGGATACTCATCTTTTAGGGTTGCCAAGTTTATGTTTCGGAAATCGACACATATACATAATTTTTCATTTTTCTTGATAACAGGGACTACATTTGATAACCATTCAACATACCTTGTAGTTCAAATGAAGCCAGTATCCAACAATCATTCGATTTCCACTTTAACTTTGTCTACCACCTTTTGAGACATTCGACAAGGTGGATGTTAATATGGCTTGTAGCCATCTTTAATGGGCAGTCGATGTTTCACCAGATCTCTGGATAAACCCAGCATTTCCTCATAATTCCAAGCAAAACAGTCACTGTATTCTTTTAACATGCCGATAACCTCGGCTTGTAATCTGGTTCTAACAGTGCACTGATATAAGTTAGTCTAGGCTTTGCGTCAGTGCCTAAATTCACCTCCTTTAATGGATCCTGAGTTTCCGCTTTAAGATCATCGAGCTTAGCCTGTGCCAATTCCAAGTCTTCCAACTGAATAACATCCAACTTTTCATTATCGAATTGATCGACCTCAGTAAGATTAACCGATAGTCCTGGCTCTATTATTGCTTCTTTTTCTAGCCGTTTTTCGGTTATGTATGCTTATAACCTAATATAAGCGGCCCTAAAGGCCTGCTACCGAGCTGCTTTTTTTTCAAATTTTGCTTCCATAAACAACTTCTTCTTCAATTATAGTAAGCCGAGGGAGTTCTACTTTCGGCCTAGAATTCTCTTGCTGCAACTCGCCGATTTCACGATAGGCAAGGCTACTTCTTATGGTTGCCGAGGTAGGTCTTCCATCGGCTCTTGTTCCCACAAATCGAATAGGAACACATTCTTGGTCATACAAAACAGCATCTGCCGAGTACACTTTTGCCACAAATGGCTTATCATTGGCATTCACTATTTTCACCTTATCTCCATCCTAAAAAATCAGCATCTGGTGTAATGATGATGGGATGCACATATTTGGATAAATCCAGTCACGGCCTAATAACAAATTATAGGAAGCCGTTGATTCAATAATAAAGAATGCCACAAAAGACGTCCTTCCTCTAACTTCTACTTTTAAGGGAAGCAGATCCCTTTAGTACTAGTAGAGCCTCCGTTGAAACCACAAATTGCTATATCAGTAGGAATAATGTAATACCCCTAATTTCAAAAGAATAGTCCTGGTATTTAATTTATTGGTTAAATTACATTTTAATTTATTTAATTGTTTATTTGTGTTTATTATTTGAATTATTTGAACTTATTTGCATTAATTGAATTAATTGCATTATATTGATTTAATTGAAATTGTTTGTTTGCATTTATTGACTTATTGGAATTCTTATGTGAATTAAACTACGTGAGTTTTAAATATATTAAGTTATTTTACTTACAGTTTTTGGGACGTCATCTGGTATAGCCGACATAGAATTTAATTGTAGGTTTTGCTATGGGCCGACTAGGATTAAGTTTAGGGCTCTATCTTTAATATGACAAGGATTAGGGTTTTAGTATTAAGCCTATAAATACACCATTATGCTTTAAGCCTTGGGTTTACGATATATCACATAGCACATACACGTAGAGTTGTTCTGTAAAAACAGAGGGTAGAGGAACAGAGCGTTGTAAGAATTGTCAAGGGAGAAATCAAAGAGGACCAAGGAAGGATTGTGGTGAATTATCTTGGAGTAATAGAAGGCTTGACAGTAGTTCGGTGTTTCCAGAACAGTGGACACGACGCCGGGATTTCATAACTGAAATCACAGGCAAGTTCTTATCTTCCTCTTTCCCTTTGGCTTGTGTTCTGTGCACCTAGATAGTCTCTAGGGTTTAACTAATCAGTAATTAAAATTTACGTGTTTAATATATGCTTTGTTGATGTTCTGTTTGCTTTAAATTCAAGTCTGTTTACAATTCATGTATGTTTGCTTCCAGTTCTGTTCGTTAAAACATGTTAAAATCTGTTGTAATTTTAGTTACTATACTTGCTTTTATCTTCTGTAAACGAACCATGGGGATGTTCATGGGATGTTATAAGACCCTTAGGTTCAGTATTGAAAAGGAGCAGAGGGGTTAGAATGGAACGGTTTTTGCAAGGTTGTGTTTCAGTTTTGAGCGTCAAAGCATGTTAAGACAATTGTTGCTTTTGTTGCTGTAATAATTCATACTATAATAACAATTCTGATGGGATGCTATTGAGTGTAAATAAAACTTCTAAGATCAGTTTAAATACCAACAGAGTGATAGGAATAAGCCGGAGAAGGAGCAGAGAAGTTGAAACGAAGCACAGGGGACTGAAGGCTCTTAGAGAAGAGGAGAGCCGGCTCTATAGAGGAAGGAGCTGGCTCTACCATCTAAAGAGCCGGCTCTAGGATGTCTAGAGCTGGCTCTAAGGCTTATTGAGCCGGCTCCAAGAAGCATGGAGCCGGCTCCATGCTCTAAAAAGAGCCTGCTCCAAAATTTTAGAACAGGCTCTCCTATTTTGATGTGTACAGGGTTGGTTTTTGAGTACTGTTTGGACGATGGATGTACTCTAGAGTGTTTTAAACTGTTCTGGAGGGTCCTAAGCATTGATTTCATATGTTAATAAACCTCTTGTTGTATGGTTTATGTCTCTAGGATGAAACAATATAAAAACATACAATTTGACATACTGATAACGGATGGAAAGAATCAAAATGCTTAGCTTAATTTTGGGCAACCTAATGGAATATAATAAGATTATAAATCTTATATTGAGTGCATGATAGATCATTTTACGTTTAAAGTTGAACTATGCATGCTCTGGAGGTGAATTGTTAGAATATTAAATTCTTTTATACAATTGCATGGATTACTTTCGGGATATAAATTGCTGAAATATCATATACTCTTCTGCAATTATTTGGAATGGTTTTGGATTGTAAATTGCTAAATTGATATTTATGTGTTGTAATTTACATGGATATGGAGGATTGTATGCACCGGTATGGGACGGTGTCATACTAGGGATGGTTTAGTTCAAAACGTCTAAACCTACCCTAATGGATTAAAAAATATTGAATCTTATTTGTGACTAAGTCAGATCAACTGTAACTAAGTTGAATGGCTTCCTGGATTAATAGATGGTAGTTAAGTCATATCAACTGAATAAGTTGAGTGACTAACTAATTTGTATACTGTATGTCAGCTCAATAAATATTTGAACAACATACCCTGGTTTAGGACGGACTTTATATATATGTTTATGGTACCACAAGATGAGCTTGAGTCTGAGACCGTTGGTTAAGGTGCGTATATGCAGTGGATGCGTAGCTGGCTATAGTAGTTTGAGGTGTACCCTGTTAGGTCTAGGTACTCATGCCCACCCTTGGGTGCATATTCACATGTTGCCTTCTATTCAGGTTGAGACCCCTATTATAGACCAGTGAATGTCCTTTAGTGTGGATAGATATATATGTATGGACTAGATAGTTATTGTGAGGTATCTACGGTGTATCTGCGTATCGGGTCACTGTATGGATTGCAGTTAGATTAGAACTTGCTCGTGGGCCTGACCTACTCTTCTATTATTCTTTTCAGGTGCAGGACGGTTCCAGCCTTAGAGCTTGATTGTGCTTGTCGAGGACAGTGTTACATTCATCCATATATGTAGGACTTCTCTTGAGGATTCCAGTTTAATTTATTCTCAGTTTCAGTTCAGTTGATATTTTCTTTAGGGGTCCACTAGTTGGATTTCCAAGTTGTAACCTTGGAGGTTTTGAAGATTTGGAGGTTTTGAAGATTTGGAGTTTTATTATAATTTTTATCTGGAGGATTTTATATTTCTTTCTGTTTCTTTATTTAAATTCTTAAATTTTATTCGGTGTTCGTTATAAAATACTTTAATTGTTTGATATTCCCTCGAATTTTGGCTTAGGCTTGATCAACCAGTGTTCTGGATCCGAGGGGTATCACAGTTGGTATCAGAGCACTCCAGGTTCAAGTGTCTCTAGGATGTTTCGTATTAAGACTTCTGCGTAGCGTTTTCTCTTAATTAGAGCTTAAGTTTAGGATTTGTTGAATTCCTTTACGGTTCATTTAGAACGTACTGATGTCAAATTTATTCTGTAATTTCAGAATGTTTGGCACTAGGAGAAGGTTGTGGTTCGCGATGAAAACAAAGAGGGGCCAAAAGAAGAGGAAGGTTATTCTGATGATTCCCCTACGAAGGCTGACCAAGAAGGCAGAATTGGAGACCAAGGAATTGGTTCCCATAGGTGTTGCTTCGGAGTACAAGTCAAGGAAGATTTCTAGTGTGCGAGATTGGCCACTATATTGTGGACCTAACATAACTTCGGTGGTACTCGAAGCTGAGTCAAGCGAAGAAGAAGACCCTGAAGAAGATCAGGATGGAGGAGATACCGGAGCATCCAAGATGGAGGTTACCGGAGTTCAAGGATGAATGCTCTTCTAAGAGTATTTTTAAATTACTTGT